TTTTCTTCTTTTCTTCTTTTCTTCTTTTCTTCTTTTCTTCTTTTTTTATTTTATTTTCTTTTCTATTTTTCTTCTTTTGTTTTCTTTTGTTTTCTTTTCATTTTTTCTTTTCTTTCCTTTTTTCTTTTCTTTTCTGGCTTTTAACTTGATGCTAGATTATTTGCGATATTATATTTTAACAAGTGTTATATATGCGAATAACATATTAATTTACTAAAACATAATCATAACCTTGAATGGTCCACAATTTATTTCATTGAGAACTATTTACTCAACCAAATACTAGATCAATGATGAAAACAAATCAAACAAAGATGAGACAAAGATGAGATAATGGTCATCCATTTGAACAAATTCTTCCAAACCCATACCTAAAAATATCCCACAGATTTCAATACACCGCCCTCACCCGAAATTATTGCAAAACATTCCCCGAATTATTGTATTCTTTCACAAAATAATTTAAATGAAAGAAAGTTCAATAGAACATTACTATGTGTGGAATGTATGGAATCTGTGACGTCATAGGAGGTATTTCAATTTGAAGGGTAGTAGCCATGCAAAATCCGGTACTGAATAAAATCAAATTTTCAATTAAATCAAAATGGTAGGAATGTACTTTGATCATTGGTGATCATTGAACAATTTTTTCGTAGTCAACATCTTAGGTGGGGTAGCCTGTAGTGGGATATAGAGTAGGAAATTCAAGGTATACATTATGTATAGCGCTCAGTATTAACACTACGAATGAGGGCACTCACTAAACCCATGAATAATATTTAGTACTAATTAGTACTATTTCATACAGAATCCTTTGTTTTCTATTGTTTGATTATCACTATTTAGTACTAAAAATTAATATTTGTTTCACGGGTTTGGTGCGAGCACTCTATTGTCACGCCTTCATACTGAGATATGTCAAGATACCGCCATTTCAGTGTAAATCTTTTTCTTCTCCCGAGCGTAAAAGCTCAAAAACATTTCAGCATTTACAATACAATACAATAAAATAAACTTTATTAAAGGGGGTGACGTATTAGCCCAGTGCGTTATCTAACTTGCGGCCCTCTATAGTTTTTACAATACAATACAATACAACACAA